CTAGCAAATCTTATTGCAGTAGTAAAGTAACATAATTTATATCAGTAAGTTTCTTACTGTTTGTAAAGGACATCCTATTTGATAATATCTTACGTCAACACCATTAAAAATAAAGTATTTTAGGGATTTTTCCTTACTAAAAATAAATTCCCGCCGAAACCTACGAGGCTATAATTATTTCGATTTTAGTAGTAAATGAATCAGTATGGTTATAAACTGTTCGCACGATGTGAAGTGACAAATTTTCTCCTTATATGTAACTTTGAATATAATTATATTTCATCTCGTTGAAATAAGTTGAAATTACGTTTCGAACATCCACTTTTTTCTCAGGGAATCTAGTGTGAAGTCCCTGGACTATCGTATTCTATTTATGTTTTATAACCCAACTGCGGCTGCTTTAACTATGTTACGATATAGTGCTATCCGTGTTTGGCAAAATTCGTAGACATTTATATTATTTAATCGAACTTACCTCATAGTTTCTAAAAATAAATTATTGTTTGTTGGCCATATAAGTAATCGCCGCTTGGAACCCAGACCCTTGCTTACATTTATATACTTTTCTGTTAGGTACAACACTTTCAACTATACAAAATACTAAATAAATCCATAAATGCAACAGTGTTTTTTTTTTTTCAATATTGAATTTATTACCAAACTATACAGCATGTCTTTATAATCGCTACGATAAATGAACACACATACAGAGGATAACTTTTTAAAATTGTTTTAAAAATTTACATTCTTCAAACATCAATATTTACCGAGTTATTATTTTTTATTGTTTTCCAAAACAAACAATTTTAGAACACCTTACGTATATCAATGTCTTGAATTGATTTAATTTGTAACTTTTTGTACGACTGAACGTTTTAACAACCGTCAAGCCGACAATAGATGTAGGTAAATTGAATGTCATACAGTACATTGTTAGATGCAATTGAACACATGATCTGAGCGTTGCTATTAAAATACATCAGGCGCGAACATCCTCCCCCCGTTGAAGATCTGCGGCAGAAGATCTTCAATTATCTGGTTCTTCAAATGTAGGTAAGGGGCAGAGGCGAGTCAAAGGTCGACGTAGACATCCCTTTGCATTTCTCACGTCGGCGACTCGAGCTATATTGTCTGGTCCAGGGTATAACTTCTCGACTTTTTTTTTTTTAATAATAATAAAATATCTTTATTCACATAGACGCTTGCGCGTCCTTATGAAACGTCAAAATTTTACAAGAAATGAACACGTTCGTAAGTTACCACCGGTTCGGAAAGCAGTTTCTGTTGAGAAGAAACCGGCAAGAAACTCAACAGTTGCTCTTTTTTAAAAAAAATCAGTTTACAATATAATAGTACATGTACAATAGTCTTGTTTTAGCCTACGTGAGTATCAACAGTATTAACCCCACACATTGGCGTCGTCAAGATATTCAGCAATAGAATAATAGGCTTTAGCCATAAGTTTACTTTTAATTTTTCGTTTAAATTCATCAAGTGGCAGACTTAATATCGACTGTGGGATTTTATTATACATGCGCACACCTTGCCCCATGAACGACCTGTTTACTTTTTGTAAACGAAACAATGGCGTAGTTAGTTTGTCCTTATTTCTAGTATTTAGTTTATGTCTGTCACTATTCTTTAGATAACTATTAATATTATTTTTAACATACAAAATATTACAATAAATATATTGAGACGCAACAGTGAGTATATTAATCTCTTTAAAAAGGTCTCTGAGTGTATTCCGGGCTCCGATGTTATAGATTGCTCGGACAGCTCTTTTTGAAGAATAAATATAGAATTTATATCAGATGCACTACCCCACAACAAAATGCCGTAAGACAAGATGCTGTGGAAATAACTGAAATAAACAAGTCTGGCAGTGTCGATGTCTGATAGCTGCCTAACCTTCCTAACTGCAAAAACAGCGGAGCTTAAACTGTTCGCAAGAGATGATAGATGGGGACTCCATTGGAGCTTTGAATCCACTGTAATTCCCAAGAATACAGCGGACTCAACAGGATTAAGGGTTACGCTATTTAATGTTAAGCTAAAACTTCGCCTTCTTACGCTGGGAAGGGTAAAAAGAAGACATTTAGTTTTTTTAGCATTTAACACTCTCTCGAGACTGTACCGAGACGCCAGCATAATGGAGGAATATTGTCTTCGGAAAGTAAAACTAGATCACCAAGTTTGAGACTAGAGGTGGTAGTCTTCCATTTAGTTTGATGTTGCAGATATTGCCTCTGCCAGCGAATCCAGAAATGTTGACGCATTTGTTCAAGATGGGCGTAGCGGTGTAAATTGTTTGGATTGTACTCGGTGACTGGTGGAGCCGGCAATGCAGTCAATGATCGGCCGATTAAAAAGTGCCCTGGGGTAAGGGCTGAGAAATCGTTGGGAGAAGGAGATAGAGGACACACAGGGTGGCCATTAAGGTTAAGTGACTCCTCAAACGTTAAGTGACTGTTGCCCATTACGCGCTTAATATGGTGTTTCGCGAACTTTACGCCAGCCTCCCATATCCCACCGAAATGAGGAGCGTAAGAAGAAGAAAAAACGAATTTGACACCTTCCTCACTTGCAAACAGGGACTTAAAACGTTATGCATAACGAAATTTATAACGATATAAAGGTATCGGTACCTCAGAAAACATTTCGTTTCAATTTTTTTTTAGAACGTTATACGCGTAACATAACGAAATTATTACAGAGAAATTAACGTTATTATAACGATAAATACGCAACGTTGGCAAACTTATTTATTTCTAAGGCGCGCGTCTTATGAGCGGGGATCCAACTGTTAGCTCGGATGGGACACAGCACGGCAACGTTTTAAAATGATGCCTAGACATTTGTAAACCCTTGTGATGAATTTTATTTAACAAGCTTTCATTTAGTTTCACCTGTAGCGATGTTTGTCATCAATTCTTGCAAATTAAATTTGATCCACTTCCCGGTTACGGATTGAGCTGAAATTTTTCATACATGTGTAAATCGCGTGACAATGCAATATTATGATGACATGGTACTGATCTGATGAGGTAGCTGGAAGGTGGCCATAGGGACTCTGTAATGGAACGACGCAACCCCATCGAGTCTCGGCTCGTTGGCTTCGTCTTGACGAGTACTTTGGTACTTGATGGTAACCAGGGTTTGATGATGGAGCTGGAAGGCGGCCATAGGGACTCAGTCATTAAGCGCCAACACCACGTCGATTTTGATTAGTCTTAATGGGTGGACCGTTTTTAATGGGTAGTGAGTGGTGGTGGTTTGGTGGACGTGTAATGTAATATAATATTTACGCATTAAATGAAATGGATAGAATGTGAAATGTTACAAACAACAAACTAGTAATTCCATAAATAATTGGTTTGTAAAGTTATTAAAATATAAAATAATACTAAAAAGTTAAAAAATAAAATTAAAAGAAAAACCGAAGAAACGAAAAAGAAAAATTAAAGAAGTTTTTATCACATACCCAATTTTATAAATAAAAGCTTTTGTTTTTAAGATGTTTTTTTTATAAAAAATTTTTATTTCAATTTTTTTCGACGTATCGATTCATTGATTAGAAGTAAATTAGTATAAAATTCGGATTGGCGCGTGTTGCACTAAGTGCAACGCAAGTTAGTCGAAACTTTTTTTAGTATTAAAGAATTTTATAGAGAATTTTATATATAATATTAAAGATTTCATTTAGTATAAAAGGTCGATGATATTAATTGTACCTTGTATTGTATATTAAAAATGTGCTACATGCGACTTTAAATGCAACAAAGAATCGAATCAGAATTATTAACTTCATAATGCATGAAATCATATTAATAAAAAAATAAAGAAAGCATTTAACATTACATAACATTTGAAAATTGCCAATTAATTACTTTGTACCTGCACACCATTTTATCATTAGCACTTAAACTAGTCCCTAGATGAAAACTCGTAAGTGAATGCGAGCGATGGTACTAAGTAGATAGCGAAGAAAGATGCCCGCAAAAGAAATAATACTACTTTACCTCTCATATTCCTAGTAACTTAAGCAAAATTTTCTATTAGTTGAATTGCTGTACCGACGACCACAATATAAGCGCGATAGAACATAAGATAAGAGACAGAACATACGCAAAAAAGAGTAAACAGTTTTGAGTAAAAGAGATGGCATAGAACAATAAATAATAACGTTATTATTTTTATAACAATATTTTAGAAACGTTTAATTCACGAATGTAACGTAACACAATTATAACGTTATGCACCTGCAAAGCTTTGCACAATATCGTTTTTTAATAACGTTTCTCTTAAAAATAACGTTATCGCACACTGGCCCAGATAACGTTACTGTATTTTACCGGTATTTTGATCCCTGCTTGCAAAGTCAGATAGGGAGTGTCTCGTATGGACACAATGAAAGGTCTTTTCAATGTCTTGAATTGATTTAATTTGTAACTTTTTGTACGACTGAACGTTTTAACAACCGTCAACCCGACAATAGATGTAGGTAAATTGAATGTCATACAGTACATTGTTAGATGCAATTGAACACATGATCTGAGCGTTGCTATTAAAATACGTCAGGCGCGAACATATATATACCAAACTATATTGACTTGCTGTCTTAACGCTGCTTAAGTTACGGAAAAGTCTAGCGCAGAAAAAACACAAAAAAATAGTCTCGTACTTAAGTAGAAAAAGACAAGCGATCTCGGCGAACAAATAGTCAAAACTAGTAGTAGTACTAGAACAAATAGTAAATTTAACGATTTTCGGATGCCACTAACAAAATATGTCAATTCACAAAATTAAGAATACGATCGACATAATATGAAAGATTAATTTCATTTCCTTATCAGTTCATATAGTACAAAGACACAATTAAGTCGTTAGGTTGTATTGTGTGTATAAGGCAACGCGATAATTCCATGCCCGTGGTGGTCATATCGCAACATACAGAATACAGAGTCTTCATTACAGCGTTTCGTTGCTAAAGAAGAAACATGTCTACCGCGTACAAAAATAACCCGGCTGTGGCGAACTTCATTGAATATTTGAAGATTCCATCCGTCCAACCGAACATTAATTACCGTGAGTGTTTTAAAATTTGTATGATCCGCTCAGTAAAGTGCAACGGCCTGTATCGGTACACAATAATTTAAAAAAAACTTTCAACTTCATATTCATAAAAGTAACAGTAGTTTGTGCTACTTCGGTTTTACTTTTAGGTTATGTTAGTGACGTTTATAATCTTTATTTGTATACAAAAGTTAACAATCATAATTTTTCTAAATCTTTTATTTTCTGGTTGAAACTAATTTAAAAATATAAGATAGGTTGAAGTTTTATAACAAATCACTGTCACCATTTGCTTACGCTGTAACGATTAAGGGTTTATGAATTATTGTAATTAACGATACCTAAAGGGTTTATTAATTACACGTAATAAATACTTTAAGGACATAAAAATATTTTTCACCATGATTTGATCCTGTAGTTAATAACGTTTTTCTTTTTACACCACGATGGAACAAAAAACACATTAGAGTTAAATCATTCAATTTTTTCTTTAAATCCACTTATTTAAACATACATATGTTATTAATAATTATATAAAGATTTAATTGCTAACTATCACAAATTTTCATATTAGAAATACCTATTATTAATAAATTTTAATAAATTATTGGGGCATATTTTTTAATACAAATGGATTATTCTTATTATTACAATTAATCTAGATATCTAAAAATCTAGATATGTATAAAAAAAATACAAAAAGGAAAAGAACAGGAGAAAGGACGATAACGAATTCAATATGTTTCAACTTTAACTGTCATTCACTTAAAAATAAATGATTTATTTTATGTTTATAATAATAATTATTATGTATGATGTTCTTCGTAAAAACTAGACACAATGTAGTAAACAAGTATTAAGGTAGGTAATTTCAGAAGCATTCCAGCAGTCCGTTTTGCTAATACAGTGTAATACGGTACAATAATAGATACTTACGTTGAGTTGACATTGACAACTTAAATTATTAGCTTACTTGACAATGTTATTGGCCAAGGTTTTATAATTATACTACTAGGATCGGCCGCAGACCTGATGTCAAACCTCCTTGGTAATAAACATCCAAATCCGGAACGATTACCTATAGATCACAAAAATACATATCCCGTGTGGGAATCGAATCATGACCCCTGGTGCCGAAATCAATAGCCTTACCAACTGCGCCACTGTAAAGTATTAAAATAGTTATAAAAATTGTTTATATATATTTTTTAAATATTTTTAGTGAAAGAAAAAAAAATTAATTCCAATTATTTGATTGTTTTATTAATATATACAATAAGAAAATATAGGAAGTTATATTTTACAAGAATCAAAACTGAATGTCATAGAATTTTCAGATATTCACCGCATATTGCTCTTGTTATATTATTATATATAAATATTCTTTGCTCTGCATTGCAAGTACCTGGGTGGAAAGACTGGAAGGTGGCACTGGAATTTCAATGGATCTTTAGTTCATTGAAGGAAGTGCATTCAAAGACGTTCGTTAGCTGGCACTACCATCAGTGGTTACTTCATACTAGCAAGATGGGAGATTTCCGCCACGTAATAAGGATATGGCGCTCATTCAAACGTCAGTCGTGCCCGCGTCAAAAAGATAAAACGTTACGATATCCCTGGCTGCTCCAACACATCCTGTCGTTATTTGCACAGATTCAACCTTCGGGTTATGTTGTATAATAGCGGAGCCTTTAACGAACTGTGACAGCTCCTGTTCAACTGAGGATGTAGTATAGAATAATACAAGACGACAATGGTGTACTCATGTACTGTATAGTGTACTGAAACGCCTTGGCTTAAACCTAGTGGTTTGAGACTACTTTGTTAGACGTAAATAAGTAACGTAGTGAATAAATAATATAAATAAATAAATAAAGACTGTCACTTTTACAACTATTCACTGTAAAAATGACACGTAATTAACCTGTCACTATAAATACATTTTAAACGTAAGAGAATACGCTAAAATCACACAAGAAATTCAAAAAAATCCTCAATCTACCTTGACGCGTGTCTTTGACTAAGCGAAAATGTTGATTTCTTCTGAAGTTTACTCGGAATACAGTGTAAAATATAAAAGAACTATTCAAATAAAGATATAAATGAAAACTGAATGCTTTAAAAGCACGCCCCATTTGTGAAACACTTATATATTTACTAGCTGTGCCCGCGACTTCGTCCGCGTAGAATTTAAAATAAAACAAAATTTTAAAATAAAAGTAGCCTAACTTACTCCTTATTACATCAGCTATCTGCCAGTGAAAGTCCCGTCCAAATCGGGCTAGCCGTTTCAGAGATTAGCCGGAACAAACAAAAAGACAGACAGACAGACAAAAATTGTAAAAAATATTATTTTGCTATGTGTACCCTGAATACGTCCATATGCATTTAGTAAAAAGCGGTTATTTTAATATTACAAACAGACACTCCAATTTTATTTATCTGTATTGATAATACCAAATCATATCAACTCGTCTGACATTGACTTAAAGAGAGAAAATATGAATCCCATAAAGTCTTGAAGACCCTCTTTCCAGCGATATTTAATTAAAACTTGTTGAACTATTTGTTTTACAAGAATAAATAACTACATAGTTCGTCTAATCACCGTTTTATAAAGGTAATAGTTAAGCCACTAGGCTTCACTTTAAAAAGGAAAATTATTAATAACGCTTCTAGTTCTACTTCTGATCTTGAGTAAAATTATAATGTCTCATTCTTTTGTCGTAGTATAATCTTTCCAATAATAAATACTAAATCAACATGAAAAATGATAGTTGCATATTTCGATAAATTATAAACAAACTTCTCTTAGTAGGTTGTGCAAGCAGCTTGTGCAAACTTTGTACCTGATGTTGTTGTTTCGTTGCAGATGAATGTGTCAATTTCCTCAAAAGGCAGGCCAATGAAATTGGATTGTCGTTTCAAATTTACGAGGTGGTTCCGCAGAAGCCCATCGTTGTAATGACATGGGTGGGACAGGATGCAAGTTTACCGTCCGTACTGCTTAATTCTCATATGGATGTCGTGCCGGTGTTCGAGGTATGTTGTTGACATTCGAAAGGAAGTGGACGAAAATCTTCTTTCTCCTTTTTTGTACAATTTACTATTCCTATCTAAGGTGAATTATGTATACGACCAATCGAAGTTCCTGTTTTGGTCACTTGCGAACAATGTAAAGCCTGTTTCGCCGCTGTTTCTCTCGTCCACAAATAAACCTGCTGCTCGATCGAAACGAATACCCGTGTCACGTCTGGCATAGTCGGATACTTTCAAAATAGAATTCTTCAGCTAAGCATAAAGTGATATCAGTTTATTAAGAAAGTACTTTCAGAAACCGTTAATTTTTCTTGTGTTTGTTCATTTTTTACGCGTGGTTTAATGTTTCGCCTTCATACATCACGTCATGTTGAACTTAATATAAATTTTGTTTTATTTTTATCGTGGTATCTTAACGACAAATAAGTAGATCAATTAAAATATAAACTGTACGTAAGGCACAATTATGATTGTCAAAAGTTACGATTAAAACATGTAGAAAAAGTACGAAAACATTGTCGCCGCTGTGGGAATCGAACCCACGTCTTCGGCATTCGCGGCCTGACGCTCTAGCCACTGAGCTAAACGGCTGATAACCACAGAGACGAAAATCTTAACGCCTTCTTTCTACATTGTTATTTAGCATTTGAAGCAATGCTTGGCGCATCTATTGTTATATTGCTTCCGTGCATAGCGTAAATAATTTATGTAATAACATCCTTAATCACGATTCAGAATGCTTGGCCCATCTATTGTTATATTGCTTCCGTGCATAGCGTAAATAATTTATGTAATAACATCCTTAATCACGATTCAGAACTCTCCTATGCAGAGGAAGCAAGGATGCCTTGGCTGTCTATCTGCCCCAACGAAAATATCCCACTGGAAGTAAACCTACAAAAACAGAGGGATGTTCCTTTGGTGCGGAGAGTACAGAGAGATACGTTTCAATCTTTAGAAAGTAATTTAGAGCGTGCCCGTTTCCTAGGCGTCTCATCTAAAGAATCGAGTTATTGGCTTCACGCTTTACCATCAATTAATTTGGGCACATTAGTTGACGATGAAAGCTTACGCATTGCTGTAGGAATCCGTCTGGGTGCACCGATTTGTCAACCACACCAATGCCCTTGTGGTGTCAGTGCAGACAAATTTGGTCTCCACGGGCATTCATGTCAAAAAAGTGCTGGCCGTTTTTCCCGCCACGGTTCCCTGAACGACATCATCCGTAGGGCTCTTGTTTCCATCAATGTTCCATCTATTTTAGAGCCCCGTGGCATTTTTCGCGACGATGGTAAGAGACCCGACGGTTTAACATTGATCCCTTGGGAGAGAGGCAAAGCCCTTGTTTGGGACGCCACTTGGGTAGACACTTTGGCTGCCTCTCATCTCTCTTTAGATTATGTATTTGTGCCATTTGCTGTTGAAACATTAGGTCCGTGGGTCCCCGTACATCAATTGTTTTTAAAAGTTTATGTCCTAGGCTTAACGCCGCGACTGGTGACAAAAGAGCTGGTTCTATTCTGGCTCAAAGGTTAAGCATAACTATTCAGCGAGGAAATGCAGCTAGCGTTCTTGGCACCATGCCACGTGGATTAGGTTTATTAGATATTATGTAATTTAAAATAGATTTAATCTTTTAAATATTAGATCAATATAGGTGGTAAATAACCTTTAAATTCCAAGTAACGCGGTATTACGGTTGGAAGGAAAATTTTACTCTCAGCCGGAGCCACAGAAAAACTGAGGTTTTTCCTCCAATTCTAGAATAGTTGGACCTATCCACCGTTCAGCGGGCATATAGACGAAGATGGAAAAATTTTCGCTCGGGGCTCGCAGGACATGAAGTGCGTCGGCATACAGTATCTTGAAGCGATAAGGAAAATCAAAGCAGCTGGTATTAAACTCAAGAGGACATTGCACATTTCTTTCGTGCCAGGTACTATAAAAATCGACATAAAGTAATGGATACTGTCCTAAGTTAACTCTCCTTCGAAGCGACATTTTTTTATTTATTTATTTATTAAGGTTCACCAACATTGGACACATTAAGCATTTTTTACTTATAAAAGTAAAAAAAAATAAGTCGTAAATGTTCCAACAATTTCAGCTTTCTTTACATAAACTTATACCCTAATTAAAATAATATAATATCTACAAACTAGTTTGAAATAAATGTAACGAAACAAAAATTTTAATAACAGTTATAACATCTTGCGAAATACTCGTGATTTGTATTTTTTTTTACATTTATTTACAGTAAGACAACCCGCTTGGCGTATAATGAACATGATTGTCTCTTGCACTAAAGGTTATGGGTTCGAACCCGATTCGGTTCGGTTTTTTCCAGTGTCTAGCGGCCGGTTTTTATATTCTATCTACAGATAGACTTTGTTAGCTAGCGATGGGTATTTGGTGTACCATATACTTACGTCAAAATTCTATCTCCAGTAACCTTATCTATCTGTATATAGAATATCGAAACCGGCGCCGTAATACGTGTTTATATATCTATCCATAACACGTTTTATTTACAAAATAAAAGTACATTTAATAAATATGTTTATCAGTCATCCAGTACAAGCTTTCGTTGGTATGGGACTAGATTAGAACTGTGTTTAAAAATATGTTCTGAAATATCTATTTATTTACCTTTAATTTTTATATTACCATAATTATGTACTTTAACTTATTTCATTCAGGATGTAATAATAACTTAAAGTACGAAATAACGTATTAGACCCTCTTTTATTTTCGATATATTAAATACGATAATTTAATGCCACTAAATTCACAAGTTTTATATATGAGTTTACTTTTTGCAGACGAAGAGATTGGTGGCCATGACGGGATGGAGAAGTTCGTTTTAACCGATGAATTTAAGGCGCTGAACATCGGATTTGCGCTGGACGAAGGGATGGCCAACCCCACTGACGAATTCATAATATTCAACGGGGAGAGGAGCATTTGGCGTACGTGATGCTGTTTTCATTAGCTTACTTTGCCTAGAGCTGGTAACGCCAAATTTCATTGTTATGCAAATGTAAATATGGACACAAAATTAATATTTTGCGCGAAAGCACTATTACCAATGCTAATCATTGCATTAACGATAAATATGCAGTGTCATGTAAGTTTGTGATTACCGCGAGATTTTCATTTTCATTGTAAATATTTTTTGTTGGCTTATATTATTATAATATTTATTTTCCGTTGTTAAGTACTTACTTCATCTTTTTGTGTTGTAACGTTGGATTAGGAGGAGATCCAACTTAGTAAGGTGAACAGTATAGCAGAGGAGTGAAACATTCTGTCAGCGTTATTTTCAGTGTCAGTGTCTCCTAGACCAGTGTCCATAAGACTTTCGGCGAAGTTTTTAACATGAAGCCTATTTTCCACACGGGAGAGTACCCATATGATGGATCGATGGGACCCGTCGTTCCTACCAGATATACCGACAGATCCATCGATAACCGACCTTTGCGACAATAAAGCAAGAAATTTAGAAAGATATAAAATTCTGTCTTAAAAATTCGACGCACACGTCGAACATTCAAAGAACAAGTTGTTATGTGGCCATTGTAGGTCGCTTACGTTGTTTGTGTGGTTTTGCACGAAGAAGACCAATAATTTTAACATATTGTTCAACCCAGCTTTACAATCCGCCACTGCCATTTTTTTTTTTGTTAAAAAAAGGTGAAAATTCAATTGTTGAAAAGACAATTGAAGAAAATTAATGTCTATGGCCGCAGGTTAACAGGCGATACAGTGGTATTCAATTACTGGAAGAACAAATTAGTGTCTATTATGTCTATGATCGCAGGACTGTTTTACCAATAAGTTTTCCGCTCACATTTCTCATGTGAAACACCTTAGGCCTCACAACTATTTCCGTGGCAGTGTCGCCATATCCGTTCCACCTGTTGCATTTGAAACAAATCGGTGAGAAAGAAAAAAAAATGAACAAGATATTTGGTTGGTCATTTAATTAGTATAGCAATGGTCAATGGCAACATTATACATTTATATACAACATGTATTTGGCATATTATTTTTTTTAAATGCAGAAATACACGTTCATTGCACCGGTCAGCCAGGGCACGGCTCTTTGTTGCTACCCAATACAGCAGGAGAAAAGGTACGCATCTGTTTTATTTAAGTTCTTGTTATGATACAACTTTTTTGAATGCCCATACTTTAGGATAACATTATCTTGTGTTATAAGGACGTTTAACAAACATAGATTTCACGCGGACAACACCCAGATGCGAAACAACTATCTATGGGTCACTCAAATGGTTGTCCCGTGTGGGAATCAAACCCACGACCACGACGCCAAAGCCAATACCTTAGCAACTACGCCACGGAGTCATTCCGACCTTTTTTATTACATTTAATTAAAAAAGAGTGTGGTTATAATGCTCAGAGGCTTTCATATTTCGTAATGTTTATTCCTACTATCCTGTAACACAAATTCTTATTTATTCTTATAAGATATTATACCCTCCACCGCGTGTCGTGGGTTCGATTCTCATGTTTGTGGAACATACAAGTATTTGTATGACCCACAAATGTTGTTCCGGATCTGGATAATTTTTTTATGTGCGTACAGGGTCGCTTTTCTAAAGGTGAAGAAATTCACACAGGAGGTTGAGACTCGGTAGTATAATTGTTTATTGAAATAAAAACGAACTTTATTTTCAACAAAATTGCCATTCCATTCCCTAAAAACAGAACTTATTGACAATGCGGTAGTCATTCATAAATGCGTCGTATACTTTTGAAACGAACTTGTGTGCGTGTTAGTTATGAATGATCGCACTTAAAATAAATGAGTTGCCCATAAATCACGCAATTTTTGGGATAAATTAAAATGAATTTATTTAATTACGAGTGATTTAAAATATTTATAATTTTTTATATAACATTATTTATGTCTTGAATTTAATTACAAAAAATGCATACACCTAGAAAAGCCTCCCTGTATATGGAAATCGTATTTTCAACACAAAATAATTGTATGCCACAGTAAAGACATTTTTTTCGTCCTTCCTCTCTCTCACCTCTCACGTACCGAATTGAACCTGCAACATACGAAAGTTGTTTTAAAACCATGTCAATTGGCGAATGCTAAATAAATATAATTTATTAAAATAACTTTCAGTCCCGAAAGTAAATAGATTATGATTAAATGTGTCGGGAAAATAATATTATCACAACATTAATTTCTAATTCTATAAAATATTTTATTATGTTTCTCTATTACCTAACATAAAATAAAAAATATCATTGGGAATTGTAGCTCTGATTTGCTTTAGAGCTTTTTTTATTCAAATGTATGCTTACTTTCATACCAATTCTACAAAATTTATAGCAACAGTTAATCGATACTATGATTAACAAACTGCGAATTCGCCGAGGTAATTACCACCTGCCTATCTTCTAGCTTGGTTTTTTACAAATGTAAAATATTAGCAAAGCAATTAATTCACCTTTAAAAAAAGAGAAAAACAATTTCTTATTATATAATAACATTGAAAAGACCTTAAGTACATTAAAATAAAAATTTTAATTAGTACTCTCTATTTACAGCTGCGATATATCATCGACAAATTCATGGATATGAGGGAAGAACAAAAGAAAATATTACAAAGCGATGAAAAATTGACCATCGGCGACGTTACGACAATAAATTTGACGCAAATTTCGGTACCCAATTTGTTATTTTAGTAGGCTCAATTAGACATTTTCATTTACATTTGTTGTAGATGAATAAATCGGTACATATTTTTTTATTTTATTCCGCTAAATTAGATATTTTCATTTGCTGTGGTTGAATAAAAAAAATTTTTTACAAAGATGAATATTGTTGCTATTAAAATATAGACGCGCCAATTCTTCATTCATCATTGTATATTCTAAACCAGGGTTTTACATTGCAGGGAGGAGTGCAATCCAATGTCGTGCCTGAAAAGCTAACAGTAGTATTCGACGTGCGACTAGCTGTTACTGTCGATCACGAAGAGTTCGAAAATAAGGTAACTTAAAAGCAAAAAAAAAAGCATATAACACATTCACTATTCTCATGGAGTTAATTTCCAATTTCCATTGTATTATACAAATCAGGGATATCAAACAGAATTAAATGAGCATTGCTAAAAATTAACGATGATAAAGAACGGAGACAGATGTCGAGATTTTTGCGTTGTGAGGTCATCAGCCACTTAGCTTAGTTGGCAAAGTGTCTGGGTGCGAAACCAGTAGAGGCAGGTCCCGCGGCGCACCATGATTTTTGTTCATTCATCTACGAAAATTAATAATTTAAATAAAATTGATTAAATAAAATCGCTTCAACTAATTAAGTAATTAGTTGAGGCGTTTCCCATAAATAACAGACACAACGATAGCTATCCTATAGTGAATGAAAACTTTATTAGTAGACTTCTAGAAACTGTATATAAAAACCGTTGAGATTTTCATCGGTATGGCAATCAGCAGTTCGGCTTAGTGATTAATTTATAGAGCGTATGGGCGCGAACTCAAGACGTGAGTTCGATTCCCGAAGCGGCATAAAACTTTCCATAATTTTTTTAACAATGTTTTATCAATTTCGAAGATTAGAACTATAAAATTTATATGAAAACCGTATTTTCAGATTATACGATGGTGCAAGGAGGCAGGAGAGGGTGTCACTTATGAGTTTGAACAAAAGAATCCGAACGTAGAATGCACAAAAACGGACGATTCCAATCCGTACTGGATAGCATTTAAGGGGGCCTGCGACGAAATGTAAGAATATGGATATAATATTTTTCACAAAACGCTTAAACATGAAGTTTAGAAATATTTTTATGCTTAGATCTCCTTACATTAATGTTAAAATACAGTGTGATACAGAGCAGCGAATGATCAATATTCAACCAATTCGCTAAACAGAGCCACCAGTAAATGTTGACAATCACACACGCGTCAAGTTAAACTTAACAGCCGATATGAACTTACCAATTGACATTATTTTTTTAATCTGCGAAACGATTCTTTTTTTTTTAAAAGCGCGCGTGCTGGGCAAATGTGCCCGCCGTCAGACAGCATTATCGGGCGAGTGAAATGTGAATTATTTATTTTTCATTAGGGACCTGAAGCTGGATTGCAGGATATTCCCCGGTGGCACGGATAGCAGATACGTGCGCCGCGCTGGCATTCCCGCCATTGGATTCTCGCCAATGAACAACACACCCGTTCTCCTACATGACCACGACGAGTTCCTAAAGGCCGAGGTGTATTTAAGGGGTATACAGATATATGAGAAGATAATTCCCGCTGTTGCCAATGTTTAGAAATTATTAAAAAAATATATGGATTTTTATACACATTTTTAAATTATTTTAATATACACATGTTTTGTGCATTACTTTATATGTTTATCTCACGTTGACGTTTAACATAATAAAGGTATTGAATAATTGTCTTGTTTTTTTTTTATCCTCTTCGATCAATTTAAGGGAAACACCCAAACCTGCCCAGAACCCAGAGGGGTAGGATAATTCGGTACTACGTACAAATGCACGTCGATTAGTGGTACTGTTATGTACAGATATTCTATTCTTACAACGTGTCTGTACAAAAGTGTCGAACATGTATAAAGTTCATTGAACAATTTTTATGTGAAAATTGTGGCAAGCGGTACACCTCATGTCGAGTGGTTACCGCCACCCATGGACATCTACAACACCTGACTGGTTTCAGGCAATGCACAAAGCTTTAAGTAAGTGGGCTCCAGCTGCCTTGCTCACTTGACGAATAGCGAAAACCGTATACTACTTACACTTCACGCTGGTCTTCTGTGAAGCCTTCACTTCCTTCTCTTCTCGTAGGAGCCTGCCCATTCGTGCAACATCAGATGCTGCAGCGTGTCCCTAACACCGTTAAGGTTTTGACGATAACATCAGTCTTAGAGACCAACTGAATGGGGAAAAATTATCCTTATTAACTTATTGTTTAGATCGTTAGATCCGTCACATAAAGAGACCAAAAGCGTTCAGTTGAAAGGTCGAGCAGTTCTTTTGTAATAGTTTTTTTTTAATATCAGTAACATAACAACAGCAGCAGACAGGAATACATACATACATAATACATATTAAGTCAATAATAATGAATATACATAACATACACTATGGAATAAACAATCAGGGTTATTTTAATAGGTTAAATTAAAGTCGAATTCGAATCGTGGATAGTAGCGAATTGCCGCGACACTGACGTAACGCTGTAGCGCAAGTTCGAGTTCGATGTAACTCCAAATTCAAAAGACAGGTCGATTTAATCGACCTACGCAAGTCGCCGCGCCCATCGCTATGGCATGGTTCTGTTACCAGGATTTTGTACTATATATTTTTTTTATGTGAAAAGTTGCCAAGCGAGCGGACGGTTTACCTGATGTAAGTGAATACCGCCGCCCATGAACATCGGCTACACCCGAGGCTGCGTCTGCAGCAGGCTACGTCTGCTAGGTCTGCTACGTCTGCTAGGTCTGCTACGTCTGCTATACCCCTACTTTCTCCGGTCTCTTTAGACGAAACGCGATCGATCGATCGGTCTCCTCACTCTTTAGACGAAACGCGAAAGTATTATACTTCCAATTTAGGTCGGTCTTCTGTGAGGTCGTGGTAATTACCCGGACGAGCCTGACCATTTGTGCAACAGCCGAAGCTGCTGCGTGGCCTGTGCATGAAATTATACTACAAGTACAATAATTGTACTTATACTATACAATCCATATCTGAAGACAGTAGGGTAAAATACTATAATTTCATTATTTTACATAAATTGCTCATAATAGCCCAATTCACCATTAAAAAAAGTTCATTGGGTTGTAAAAACGTTGTTTGTTTTCACAATACAAAGTGGTATAACCACATGTCAATTATTACCACGGATGATAAATTAAATATACTGTTTCTTTCGATATTTCGCTTGTTGAAGAGTAACTTTGCATATTGCACTATGAGGTGGGTAATAAAACCCTATTGACATCTATGAAGTCTTAGATGCCTAATGGTATGATTCATTCATATAGTTCCTAAACTAAGCTAAGGAATAAACATCTAAAGACGCCATTTTATTGTCTTGTGAAGCTATCGAAGAATCGAAGATGGTAACAAAAGTCGGAATTGTACTGATTTTATTACTCTTATTAAGATTTAATGTGATGGATAAAACTAATATTGAAGAATTGATAAACTTGGAAGTGAAGTATATTAATGCCTGGTAAAATCAAAATTATAAAGTGATAGTACACTTTATAGTTTATTTTCTATTTTTTTACAAATACTATCCTTTATTTATATAATATGTGTACCATCTTTTTAATCATATCTAAATTCAGCCCTGTCTGTTCTCTATTGTATTGACATATTGATACTCTCACGCTCGGTTTCTGAAACACTGATCATCGTAGATGTAGGCATGAGATATACCTGCAACATTGTTTACCCGGGCTCAAAGGTACGGGTATCGCCGTATACCCGGTGCTAGAACCCAGTATCAAAATACCTATAGGTATTAGTTATGTTCAGGCCTCCTAATGGAGACCCGGTATGGAATTGAACCTTTATTTGGTTGGAATCAGAACATTTAGATGGTTTTTAGCAATCATTTTTTTTAATTGAGATTTAATCAGTCTAAATTAAGCTCCATCTTTACCAACGTAAAGAACCCTATTATAAAAAAAAAAGTAATTCAAAATAAATATTACTGTTTAATCTTATTACGCAATTATTTATCTACCTAATTGTCATAGAAATAAAGAATAAATTTATCTCAAGGAAATATTTGGTATAAAATGTCTAAATCATACGTTTCAATTCGGGCATGATCGGAAAGAGCCGCCGTAAGCGTTCGGGGAACTTCGTACCTATTCGGCCGGCGGGTTGTCGCGAGCGTATATACCGCCACCGTCGGACGAGGCGGCCATAGCCATACCTATCGGGTATGGAACGGGCCTCTGCCGTACATACGTCATACCCGGTATGCGGGCGGGTTGTCGCGAGCGTTATATACCGCCACCGTCGGACGAGGCGGCCATACCCAGCCATACCTATCGGGTATGGAACGGGCCGCTGCCGTACATACCCGGCGTGCGTACTGGCATGTTCATACTGGGTATTTATACCTGTTCCAGTATATACGCCTCATCCCTACGTAGATGTCAACTAATCAGCTGTCAAATGGATTTCAAATTACAATTTAGGTACCAAAAGGATGGTTAAACTCTCTGAAGTGACCAGAATGATCTTCTTTATGATCAGAATGATCAATTCAAAGAGTTTAAACATCCTTTTGGCAACTAAAATGAAATTTGAAATTCATTTGACAGCTGATTAGTTAACATCTACGTTGATCAGTGTTTCAGAAACCGGGCGTCAGTGTCACATTAGTCTACAGTATAATGAGTCTACCCTACACTAGGGATGCCGAAAGTCCAAAAAAAATATCGATATATCGATATATCGATATTTATAAAAATATCAATATCGGCCTCGATATATTGGAAAAAAATATCGATATATCGGTCTAATTTTCAATTTTATAAAAAAATGTATTTAGTTCAGTCTGATTCAATAATAAGTAATAGTAATTTTTATACCAAATTAACATTATTTAAATGAATGAGACATTTTAAAAAAACCTTAATTATTTATTTATTATAATCATTTTTCTTTTATTGATCTTAATTTTATCAAAACTCGATATTACATTATGTGACATTTAATTATTGAAAATTTGATTATAATTATATTTTATTAACTTTATTCACATATTAAATTAAAGTAGTAGTAGTTATTCCTTTAGTTGATGCCATTAATACTGTTTATAAATTAATATTATGTAGTTCAATATTAAAGATTTGTATAAACACCTCTATACCATGTACCTAAGATATCGATAGTATAAATTACGAAGCATCAAATTGTATTATTAAATACCATAATTAGTATAAAATGCTACTCTGCATCCACGGCAATACTAGTAATAGACCACAGTTATTTTCCGTTGAGTTTTATCTTTTACGGCTTTGAATCAGATTGAATAAAAATATCGTTTTTGATACAATTTCGATATTCATTTTTTATATCGATAAATCGAATCAAAATATGTCGACCAAAAATATCGATATATTGATATTTTTTCGTCATCTCTACTCCACACATTTCTGCAGTGTTTCCACAGGTAAGGGAAATTCCCCGTTTGAGGGGAAATTAGGGTCTATAGGGGAAAAAAAGGGGTAGACATTAAAAGGGGAAATCATGGGTAAAACCTAGCTTAAAATATTGCGGTAAATTTAAGAACTATTTTTTATGGACTCTACCGTGGACTAGGGTGTTGCCGTATAAAAGAAACAATTACAACGTAAAATTGTTTTTCTCTGAATCTGGGAGTCCAAGCCCAAAACTTTTTTGTTAATGAAAATAGAATTATCAAGCTTTATCTTAAACTAACATTTATCGAGACATAAAAATATTTGTAAGCCCAAGCTCCGTGCTGTGTTGGTCATTCTCCTTTTGTCGATGATTTTGTTGAAGCATTTAGTGTAAATAATATTATTTACCAGAGGCGTGGGCAGGCTATAGAAGAAAATCGATAAAGATCTTTTTTTTAGTTACTAGACTAGGGCCAAAAGTAAAAACTACAGCAGAAAAACTTTTGAGGGGAAAAAAGCCCTGAGAAGGGGGAAGGGGAAGGAATATATAACGCTCGCGACAACCCGCCCGCACACCGGGTATGACGTATGTACGGCAGAGGCCCGTTCCATACCCGCACCGATAGGTATGGCTATGGCCGCCTCGTCCGACGGTGGCGGTATATACGCTCGCGACAACCCGCCGGCCGAATAGGTACGAAGTTCCCCGAACACTTACGGCGGCTCTTTCCGATCATGCCCGAATTGAAACGTATGATTTAGACATTTTATACCAATATTTCCTTGAGATAAATTTATTCTTTATTTCTATTAATTTATTACAATTAGGTAGATAAATAATTGCGTAATAAGATTAAACAGTAATATTTATTTTGAGTTACTTTTTTTTTATAATATTTTTTTTACTTTGGTCAAGATGGAGCTTAATTTAGACTGATTAAATCTCAAATTAAAAAAAATGATTGCTAAAAAAAACATCTAAATGTCCCAATTCCAACCAAAGAAAGGTTCAATTCCATACCGGGTCTCCATTAGGAGGCCTGAACATAACTAATACCTATAGGTATTTTGATACTAGGTTTTAGCACCGGGTATACGGCGATACCCGTACCTTTGAGGCCGGGTATAGAATGTTGCAGGTATATCTCATGCCTAATTTCTGCTGTGTCTAGTAGAGATGGGTCGTATCGCTTTTTCTGAGTACCGTATCTGAATCAGATTTCGATTTCAAATATCAGATTTCGAAACTATGTATTTTAATATCTAGATATTTTACGGTCCCGTATCCACCTTGAATTCTAAAAAAAAATAATAATAATAATAAAAAAATAAATTTCATTAAAAATAGAAATTGAAGTAATATAAAAATGATTTATTTCAACATCTTATATATCGCTTAAAATAATTGAGTTTAACATATTCTTAGAACACGCAATCATTAGTGACAATATTTTTATAATTTGTGTAAGAAATAATACATTCAGTATTATAACTTAGGGCGGAAGAATTTAAAATATATACACACAAAGCACATAAGCCTTGGTCTGATTTCCACCCAAGCAGCACAGCACTATTAAATTATATTTTTCTTTTTGTGTAGTTTTATTTTTTTTCCAAAAATATGAATAAAATTTAACGAATAAAAATATTCACAAAAAATTTACCTCCTAAAAAATTTCCATTTATATTTTTCTTCCTTAATTTAGGCAGAAAATTCTTAAGTAGTAAGTTGGCATCCCTTACGTGCTAGGTACCAATGCAATCCAGCTCAAGGTTAAACAAAATTTAAAGACATCGTTAATACCGTAATTCGTATTTAAATGCAACTAAAAATGTTTTTTTCCATGCTGTTAATAATTCTTCTTCTTCTTTTCTTTTTTGGCGGAATTCAATGAATACGCCAATGAACACTGCTGTTAAGATTCAAAATTACTTAACTACGCGCTTTGTCGCCCGTTACGGCTCAAGGCTAAACAAAACAATAAAAGTATACTTAATAATATCGTTGTAGTAATCGTTGATACCAAGATTAGTATTTAATTGAAACGGATCTTATTGTCATGGTTTTAAGATTCAAAATTACTTAACTTATTCAAAATATCTGTTTAAAAATCTGATATTGTGCCTTGCTTGCCGTACTGCTCTAACTAGTGTAATATTTGTATCTCACGCGCTTTGTCGCTCAAAATCTGTTTAAAAATCTGATATCGTGCATTGCTTGCCGTCCCGCTCTAACTAGTGAGTATTTATATCTCACGCGCTTTGTCGCTCGATATCTGATATCGTGCATTGCTTGCCGTCCCGCTCTAACTAGTGAGTATTTATATCTCACGCGCTCTGTCGCTCGATATCTGATATCGTGCATTGCTTGCCGTCCCGCTCTAACTAGTGAGTATTTATATCTCACGCGCTCTGTTGCTCGATATCTGATATCGTGCATTGCTTGCCGTCCCGCTCTAACTAGTGAGTATTTATATCTCACGCGCTTTGTCGCTCGATATCTGATATCGTGCATTGCTCGTCCCGCTCTAACTAGTGAGTATTTATATCTCACGTGCTCTGTCGCTCGATATCTGATATCGTGCATTGCTTGCCGTCCCTCTCTAACTAGTGAGTATTTATATCTCACGCGATCTGTCGCTCGATATCTGATATCGTGCATTGCTTGCCGTCCCGCTCTAACTAGTGAGTATTTGTATCTCACGCGCTTTGTCTCTCGAAATCTGTTTAAAAATCAGATATTGTGGCAAACGGTATGATATCGCGATTCGTGTCGGTATAGCGAGCGAGCACGTTACATCAGATTTCGGAAATATCAGATATTGTAAAATACATAGATATTGATCGAGCCAGTAAGCGATATTCGGATATTGTACTAATATCTAGTTTTCATATCTGATACGATATGTATTGCCCACCACTAGTGTCTAGGAAAAATCAAAAATGACAAGTAGGGTTGTTTGTTGTTTATTAATTAAGACAATTTTTTATATGAATGAATAGAAAGTGATTATTTTGAATGAAAACTTAAGTAAAATTAACAACTATTTACTTAATAAAAACCCCTAAAATGGAAAAAATATGCAGATTATGTTTAAAAGGAGGTTTGCTCTCCTCCGTGTTTACGAATAATTATAATGTATCGTTATGCGATATGATAGAATATTGTAGCAATATAAAGGTAAGATGTTTAATTGATTAAGTTTAGTATTAGTTTTTATCAACAAGATTATAAAAAAAAGAGGTTTTAATGCATTGTACCTCTCCAGATATATGAAAACGATGGTCTTCCAGACCAAATGTGCAGTAATTGTGTGTACAAATTAGGAGTTGCGTATCAATTCAAACAATCATGTGAGAGTTCGGATATTCGACTAAGGCAATATCTCGGTTTACAAGTACCAATTAAGTAAGTAATATAATTATCTAATCATTCCTTCCGTAATACTTACATGTTACTTTCCTCCTACTTTTGTGAATGCTTGTCTATTTTTTATAATTTTAATTATTTGATTCGTTAACTGATGTCAACTTTTTATTATATTTAAACTCACTGTTTACCTCAATAAGTATACATATATGTATATAAAATTCAAAAACTGTTATTTTGAAACTATACTAATTAAATATATTGTAATTTGATTTGTTCACAGGTTCAATGATGCTGCTGTCATGACTGATCCAATCGTTTGTATATAAGTAACCTCAATGTTTTTTACTATTGTCATATATTAAACTAACACCAATTTTTTTTTCAGCCTCCAGCCCGTACTACAATTATCCAGCAATGGTATGTGTATTATTTTTTATATATAATGTGTAATTTATGGTGGTTGGCCCATCCTGATAAGTACCATGACCTCACTGAAGACCAGCGTAAAGTGGAAGTATGACAAATACTTTCACGTTTCGTCTGGTGAGAGAGGTAGCAGGAGTCCAATCTTCAAAAGGTTGTCAACGCATCTGTAACCCTCGGGTGTAGCAGATGTCCATGGGCGACATGCCTGTTCATGCATGCAAGAGCCCAAGCTGCTGGCCCAACTACTTTCAGAAAAATGTTAAAAAGTAATTAAATATTCTCCATATTTGGGAAATTAATTACTTGTTAATAGTTTATAATAATATATTATAGAATATTATATAGAAATATGTGAATAATAATACTGTTTCGTCGTTCGACATATACTGATGATGTTAAATATTGTAAATCTAAAATCTAGAATGTTTTACATTTGATACAAGTTTCTACTTCTTTTTCGCAGTAAATGTAAGCTAGTTAATCAAAAAAAGAGTCGCAGTAATTATAAAAGGAAACCAGAATCCGAAAAACTCAAGCGTGGCCCAAAACCAAAGCCTAAGCAAAAGCACTCTTGTTATGAATGTCAGAAGCAGTTCCAATGTCAAGCACAACTGGAAATGCATATCAGGTGGCATTTTTTTCTTTACTTTATTAACAAACAAAATATTCCATTTATAGGATGGTTCAATTACAAGATAATGGTTTGTTAGGTGTATATTTTATGCTGCGAAAGGTACAACAATTAGAACCGTTAACTTTTATTTAGACAAATAACTTTCTATTTATTTACTTTATTATATAATAGTTAATCATACTACTTAATACCTGCAACAGTTGATTGAATATTAAATGTCCATATTTACTATAAAACAATAGCTAATATCCATTTAATCAACATAATATTGAGTATATTTTGTTTCCTTTTTGGAACATTGTATTGAATAAAGATAGTAAACTGATTACCGAAGATTTTCACTTTAAAAGCAGTATAATCAATTATTTTTCAACAGAACTCATACAGGTGATAAGCCATTTATTTGTATGTATTGTCCACGTCGGTTTACACAAAAACACAATTTGACCATACATCTTCGAATACACACTGGAGAGAAACCTTTTCAATGTGAAGTGTGCAGGTATTTAATAATTTAACTTAACTATATTAACTAAAATGTAATAATATTCTTATAGTCTTATATTTTTTCTTAAATATTTAATATTTGGATAAAAAATTGGGTAACTTGATTCAACTGTATATTCAAAGTAAACTAATTGATTTCAAGAATCCTCCCACTGTTAAAAGTATATATATATATATTCCTTAATTTTGTTTTTATGTAAATGTTATTATTTTTTATGAAATTCTTGCAACATTGTTTTTAAATACCCATGTAATTTCATGATCATTCAATAGTATTATATTTTTTCCAGTAAAACATTTTCTGCCCAGAGCAACCTTCAAACCCACTTGAAAATTCATACAGGCCAAAAAGATCATGTAAGTTAGATCTAATTAGTTTTATATTAAGCATAAAGAATTACTTTTTCATACTTGAGTTAATTGAACAAGTTTTCCAAAAGAGGATTGATGTCAAGCTGGTCAATCAAGGTCATAAAACATAGCCAAATATGCTTACATGATTCACATGATGTGCTGGTCCACATGGGTGGGATAAGGACAGGAGGATATATACAATAATGATGACTTGAGATAATCAACATTGACAGTACATCATAATTACAAACAAGCAAGCGATATTGTATATTGTTGTCATGTATTGTGAGGAGAAATAAAATACATTATCTTCTTATCCTTTAAATGAGAAATTCTTGTATATATATATATATAGAATAGATCTTCATTCCGATTATATATATACAGCGTGTCGTTACCATCGCGACAATAAATGAACACACGTCTAACGCTACTTGCCAATAATCATAAAAAAATATTAACGTTAAAAAAAATCCATAATTAAAAAAATTTTTTTTTCAAACAAACTAATTCAGTAAAAAAGAAACAAAATTTGTAACATCCTATACAACTCTCTTTCTAACAGTATGTTTTGTTTCTTTTAAATTCATTCAATCCATTCATTCATATGCTTTGTGACCTTTACAAATGAACTTTACGTTACAGTTTTATACGCAAAATTTAATAACTCTGTAAATATTGATGTTCAAAAGAATGTAAATGTTTAATACAATTTTAAAAAGTTATCCTCTATATGTGTGTTCATTTATTGTCGCGATGGTAAAGACACGCTGTATATATGTATAATCGGAATCTCGGAAACGGCTCCAGCGATTTTCTTGAAATTTAGTATGTGCGTCGATTCGGGGGCGAAAAATCTACTTAGGTTTCATTTTTAGAAAATGCCCTTTTATCCCTGTTTTCAGGGAATGAAAAATTTTATTCGAATATGAAATTCAAAAATTCGCCTATTCGGTAAATTTCGCCGCAAAAAAAATGTTATAATAGTTCGGTCGGTAATCGGGCGGCCCCAAAACAGACGGCCGCGGTTGGTATCACGATAATTTACACACTTTTTTTTTTTTTACTTTTTTTTCTATACGAGATCTTTATCTTTATTTTTTTTATTTCCAAAATACATGATTTACCAAAAAATGGGTCCTCCAGGAACTTATTATTATTCAACTAAATTTTATAAAATAAAAATTGATTCTGTAATATTAATAAATATGTTTGTTTTCAGATATGTCCATTATGCAACAAATCATTCATAACTTCTAGTGAATTGACTCGACACATGCATAAACATAGAGGAATTAAAAATTTCAAGTGTGATGTGTGTGGGTCTGCTTATATTCACAACAGAGATCTTGTAAGTGTGTGGAAGCCATTACGTTTAAGTATTACATTTTAATATTTTTTGTTTCAAATTTATTCAAAAATATGTTTCAAATATATTCTTTCAATCGAAATTAATTCATAACACTTTCACAATTAGTATAACAACACAATATTTATATATTTATGTATGTATATGGAATGGAGAATTTTTATCTTGTAGTACTGTATGATTTTATTGGACACAAATGGTCACATGCACACACTATTAATTCAACTCTTAAACTTAATTTTTGTAATATTTATTTATATATTTGTGCAATTTTTAGAAGCTGCACAAGTTGAAGAAACATCAAGTTGTGCCACAGAATCCCAAAATTCAAAATGAAGGTTACAATAATAACAGTCATGTTGATGTTATAAGCCTTGATGAAGGAAAGGAAATGGCAATATTGCCAGATAAAGACGTGAGCGATCATTTTGCCTCTCACTCTATTGATGACAAAAATCAACAAAATAATATTTCAATTGATCATTCATATGCATTATATGAGAACAAAAGATTGAAAGATATTTTCCACCCCTACCCCACTAAACTTGGAAATGACATGCATAGTTGTTCCATTTGCGGTGAAGGATTTTTGTTTATGACTGCTCTTGTACAACATTGTATTCACCACCATAAGGGTTACAATCCGATACAACCGAAGAATTACGTTTAGTAGACAATAATTTTTCTCATGCAAACATAGCCTAAGTAAACATAAAGTAAGTAAGTAAACACAAATCTTCTTATATATAAAAATGGCATAGATAAGACATATATACTGGCTGTTCGTTAGTCTCGCTAAAACGTTTGATATATTCGTAGCAGTCCAGGGAAGGTTTAAACGATGAGAAATTGTGGAAAAATTGCGTGGAAAATCGAAATAGCAACAAATTTATTTTCCCATACAAACTGTACCTGTCAAACGATTTTTGAACGCGTTCCGATTCCTCTAGAAATAATTTATATGGCAAAATAACGTTTGCCGAGTCAGCTAGTTATATAATAAACGCTTTATCTTTGATTTTGTCTACTTTAACCACACTGCATTTAAATAATCATGACAACACTTTCATCCCTTGGTCAGTAGTTAGGCAATACTGACTGTACTGTAGTATTGCCTAACTCGTATGGCAATAGTCATTTTCGTATTTTAATCCGATCCGTAAAATATTCTCTATCCCTTCCTACTATAGCCCCTTTACAACGGTTCAAACTCTGATGCAGATAAGGATAATTAATATTCTATTTGACAACAAAATGAGTTTTAAAGTTTCATCTTTTTAATGTTTAATATTAATATGTGAATAATGGCGGACTAAAGGCGGACTGTATGAGGCCCGAAGATTAAGGAGTTGATCTAATTAAACAAGCTTTTTAATCACTTCACATTTATTTGTATGTATAAGTATTTAAGTTGATTTTGTTAAAATCTTGTAAAGTTATAAAAGTGAAATTTAAATTTGACTTAAATAAATATAAACAGAATACAGAGATGGATGAGGAAAATAAAATACGAATCAATCTGCAAAAAAACTAAATAGTAAAAAAAAGTAAGTATAATAATATAGAGATAAAGAATAATAAAGTAAAAGAGACATAAAGATTAGCAGCAGTGGCGTAGATTGCCTTAGACGGGCCATTAAATCAGAATGTATCGGCCCAAAAAAAGAGTAAACACCAAAGAAACAAAAATCTCGCTTGGAATTATTATACATAATTTTTTCGTTTTCTTTAAAAGAAGTTATTTTTAAATTAAACTTAAAATGGACATGAAATTTCCTGATACATAATAATGGTCTGTTAAAGAAGAGAAATAGATGCATGATGCTGAAGTAATTGAATATCGCGATTTGATTCTGTGCAATTACTGCGCAAACATGGTCAGAAATCGTGTATCACTTTATTGTGTGACATGTAGGAGAATGAGTCCTTAGATGACATGTTTTAAGTTATCTTTTTATTTCCGCGACGTACGACTTAAGAATTTAAGTGATTATGGAGTTTTGCCTAGGGCTAGGGGCCCGTATCATTGATACGGCTGACAAAACGTTAGCTTCACCCCGATTACCAGTAGTAGTATATATAAAATTTAAATTACCATTTCCCGCTGTTTTTATCTGAAATAATTATGATTTTATTTATACCTACGCATTTTATCTGAAAGAAATAGTATTTGTATTTTTTTATGTGAAAAGTTGCCAAGCGAGCAGACGGTTCACCTGATGTTAAGTGAATACCGCCGCCCATGAACGTCTGCAACACCCGAGGGTTCTAGATGCGTTAACAACCTTTTGAAAATTGGGCTCTGGCCACCCCATTCACCAGACAAAACGCGAAAGTTTTATACTTCCACTTTACGCCGGTCTTCTGTGAGGTCGTGGTACTTACCCAGACGAGCCTGCCCATTCGTGCAACAGCCGAGGCTGCTGCGTGGGCCTACCACCGTTGTATGAGACCTCCAAACTCCAACCTCTTAGATAGGCACAAAGCAGATTTATGAAGCGTTGTTTAAGGTTTGTTTAAGGGAACATGAAGTCGTTTTGGGGCTTTAGGAGCTCGGGACGGACCGTCCCTTCCGCCCTTGGTTAGTACGCCACTGTATGTGAACGAACGTTGGTGAACCTGTTGAATAAATAAATGAATACTTTGTTTCCCTCCTAAAGATACCTCAAACTTCTGTATACCGATTTTGTCATATGTATCCTTGCAGCGGATGAGGAATCCATCCTACAAGCAGCCATTCCCAATTTGTGTTACGCGTACGTAATGGAGGTACCTGAAAATTGGTAATGGCGTAAATACTCAGGAGTTAAACAGATAATTTATATAAACATTATTGTAATGTATTATTAATACAATCTGTAGTTTAAAATTAAACTTATAACTTCCTAGGGTGCTATTTAAAGGCATAAAGCGAAAAAAGAAAATGGGCAGATTGTGTTTCATTGTTAGATGCTTTAGATGCCTCTTAGAATGTTACCTTTTCACAGGCGAATATAGCTATCCTACAAGCATTATATAATACATACTTATCAATTTAACTTCTGTAGATAACTTCGTGGCACAGTCGTCTAGGTATTGGCTTTGACGAGTGGGGGTCGTGGGTACGATTCCCACACACGACAACTGTTTGCGTGATACAGATAATTTTTTCGGATCTGGGTGTTTGCCTACGTGAAATTTATCTCAAACAGTAAGCGTTCATATTTTCTCTATTAATATGAAAATTAAAGATATTTTGATTTATTTAGAAATAATCTGAGTTCAAACCGTTGATCTGCATCTCAGGACATACGGATAACAGAAAAGGCCGCTGATTTCTGTGCCAAGCAGGCTATATCATTCAGGTATCCACTAATTAAACCACTTATTGAAATCTTGGTAGAATTTTTAGCAGTAGCGAAAAATAGTAAAAGGGAAATATTATGGCAATGTACAACTGTATCTACAAACCATGTTTTTTTTAAAACATAAATAACAAGAGTAATAAAAAATTATGTCTCTGTCCCTCTCTATGATATTCTTCCTTTCAATTTTCAGATTTGTCAATATTTCATCCAACTCTTACTGAATCCTCTCATATTAACTTTCTTTATTTTATTCATCTTTATAACATCAGACTTCTTTCTTCCCTTTTACCTTCATTTAACTCCCCCTTCTTCTTCTTTCTTCCCTTTTACTTTCCCTTCATATTTATATTGTTTCAAATAATATTTCGTTTTACCTCATAACTGCATGTATATTATAAATGTAACTTACCATTCAAAAATTAACATTATTTATCAATCTCACTACTTATGTTTACTACTATTAATGTTTTATTCAACCTTGACATTGGCAGAATCATGACAATCTTCATCCTCCAAAAGAGAGCTATTTGAGCAATTTATATCCTAGATTTCAAAGAATCACTAAGAAATTTGTGATTAAAGATATTACTTTTGCATTTCAGTGCAAATTGAAAATGTTACATATGCCCATAAAAATAGGGATGAATTTCAGGGCATAATAATGTTCTCATTGTCAAAAAACCTAAATAAATGTAAATATCTAAAATGCTAAAAAAATAGCCTGAGTTTCGTTCGCCGGTTTTTCTCAGGTCACTTTCTTTTCGGAACCAGTAGTAGTTTTGACAATCAATAAATGATTGTAATGCTCCTATTTTAAATAATGATATTTGAATTTAAATCATCAAGATTTTCTTTATGGAGCCATTACACTAAAATTGGAATAAGAATTGCACTCCTACCAAGCAATCTTCATATTCTTACCAAAAATTGCATATATCATAGCTGATTAGTCATTTCAAATGATGTCTGGTATTATTTATGTAACCATTAGAAATTTAGCCTTATATTCATGTTGTAAATGTATTGATTGAAGTGTGACAATTCACATAGTAGTGTATTATTATTGCTACTGGATATTGGGTACTTGATTAGCAGTTGGAGCATACAATGCCTCATGGTTGTGTACTATGTAGTTATAATGGAGGAGAGAAGAATGGTCTTCTCCCCTCCCCAAAAACATACATTCAACATTCTGACAAGAATTTTGCTGCTGTCTCCATGTGTTTTATTTTCTCCTTTTTTAAACTATAAAAGTTGCACTGTACTGTACATATAAGCAAAAATCAATTAAATCTGTACCTATATTGAATAATTGACTGCAAAAAATGTCTAATAATGTGAAAGTCAAAATTAAAAAAAAATATAACAAACATAATAATTATGACTATACTTTATTGAACTAACAGTGAAACATTGCCATAAATTAATCAAATTTGTAACACAGCTTTGTTACAGAAACATGGTGATTGAAACTTTTGTTTTTGTTGCCATCTCTGATTATTTATAACTTGTCTTGAAATTTTGCAATTTACCTAATAGGAATCCATGGTTCAAAAAGGTCACCTATCTTCTTTCTCTCTGAAATGGAAATAAATCTTGTTAAAATCATGTTGGGCATAATCACTTTATAATAAAATGCACATTTATACCTGAAATTTTTAGATAATAGTTGCTAATGCTGGCTATCACCTAAATGTATGTTTGATTAAACAAATGTATTAAATTCTGAAATATATTAAAAAAAATATTCCTAACCAATGCGACATTACATGGTGGTATTGATTTCCCCGCTACATGGGGCTCCTATTTCTGGGTGGTTATAAGAAAACAAGGCTGGCTGGAGCTCCCGTCCTTAACCTTCTAACCTAACCTGTCTGAATCGGAAAACTAAACCAACTTGAAAGACCATTGAAATATATTCACCTCTGTTACATTTTCCAGTGTTCTTCACGTCAGGCAAAGATTTACCGTAAACAGCCTAAAATAATGTTTATGTCTGGCGTCACACATTACAAAAGAGATATAACCGTTGTCTTTTTGTAATGCTTTAGAATGTAATTATGTAAATTTCTTAAGCCGATAGTTAAAATAGCTATAAATCTTAAAAAAATAATTTCTCGTAAACTATGTTTCCGCAGAAAACTGAAAATACTAGTATTGACTTCAATGGTCTAATACTTAACTATTAAAATAAAATAAAATTATAACGAAAATTATTTACTTTAGTACAGTGATGAAATTTTAGCTGTTTTGTTTACTATTGTATACTTGATCAATAACTAAAGTCAAAAATTGACACAATTACATAAAATACTTTAAACTGGATGAATTATTTTCGAGACTTACCTGGAGTGGGAAAATCTTCAGGGTGTAACTCAACATAATGACGATACACTGCATCTTTTTCAGCTAAATAATCATCACGTCTGTTTTGTACATAATGTAAGATGGTACACCATGTTGCCACACCAATAATATGTTTTTGTATACCTATGAAAATTGGTTTGCATTTTAATTTCTTTCGTTCAGATATCTGATATTGTGAATTTGTTACTATTATGTAATATGGTTACCGCTGAACAGGGGTCGTCTGGTCCCGAAGTTTATACATACTCCTGTGCAAATGCCAAAGCCAACCCCTACAATATATGGCCAGTAAATGTTCAAAAATGGTTTTTTTCTGTCCTCGTCTCCTAGTTTAAGGAGTTCATATGCTGATAAAGATGAAGCCATTTTAGATCACAGTCTCACAGTATAAACTGTATTTAATGTGAATATTGAGTACTGCTGTCATATGTCATGAAAATAACCCTTCAAAAATTCGCTGACACTGACATTTATCACAGACATACCTTTCTTTTTCCTGAAGTTCTCCTAGGTTCTCCTAGGACACTATAAACCAGACAATGATTTAATATATAGCAAAAAAAAAATTTATGTGTAGCCCTAGGCTGCAAATCAAAAACATTGCATATTTTATAAAATTCAATTTAAGACCACAGCCTATACATGTCCCACTGCTGGGCAAAGGCCTCCTCTATACAGAGGATATCAGGGCATAGTCCACCACACGGCCCCACCGTGGATTGGTGGACTTCACATACCTTCGAAAAATATGTTTTTTTGTTATTATTTCGAAAATATGCAGGTTTCCTCACGATGTTTTCCTTCAATGCGGAGCACGTGATATTTGGTGCCGGCAACGGGGATCAAACTCAGGGTGCTCGAGTATATTGAATTAAAGGCGAGCGCCCGGACACTGAGCTATCACTGCTCAAGCTAGCTTAAGGTAAGACCACATAACTACATGATTTCCTTATATCTAAAAATCTACTTTTTTATGCGAGAAGGTGGCAAGAGAGCTGGCGGTTCATCTGATGGTAAGTGATAACCGTTGCCCATGGTCATTTGTAACACCTGTAGGGGTGCAAATGTCATCAAACATCTTACCATTAAAATAAATAAACTATAAGGAATATAAACTTAAATTTTACAAATTATTAGGGTTTAATACGTTTTTATCTCATATCAGTACATTTCACATACAATTAACATCTTACAAATACGTGTTTATAAGTTGATTCCAACCGGCCTTTTCATATAATTTTGTAAGGCGACCGCGGCTATGCGACAGTCACTTGTCGCACCATGACCACTTTCACCAGGGTTGGATTTTGTACCATAATTATTCCTCACCACCCTCAGCCACTGATTAATCAAGTACATAGCGATTGTACAAATTCTACTATAATTTCTTGTTTCGTGCTATATATTATCCATAGCAAAATGAAAAAAATCATTTTTCCATCACTTCTGAGCACTTGTTAAATCAACACTTAAAACTTACGGTCCAGTATTTCATTGGTGCCGGTACCGGGATTTAGTATCATGTTACTCGGATATGTTTTTATTTAATACATAAGAAAGCGAGCACCCGCTGAGATATCACAGCACATTTATAATAACAAAAACATTATACCTTCCTTCATATTCAGATATCTTTTAAAGCATCTAGTCCTTATTCACTATTTAAGTGTTCTTTAAATAAGCTACAATACTCAACTAAGTGATTGAAGTTGCAGGCCTGTGGCCTGTCTGTATCCGAGCCCCGGGGTTGTGTCCCCATTGCTCGTGCTAGCAAAGGCCAGCCGTTTGTCGGTTTAAGCCGGACCCATCCGTAGCAGCGGCTTCTGTGGGCAGAGGTGATGCTACGATCAAGGACATGGTTCTCTGGTGTCTCACCTAAGTCGCAACTCACTAACCTCGTTCACGCGGAGTAAATTGTGGCTTAAATGGAATTTAATTTGAAGGCAAAATACTTATTTAATACTAATATAATATATCTAAGTCTTCCCTATGGTAATTTGTTCCTCCGATTTTTTAAGAATACGTGTAATAATCACACATTTGCATAATTCGGTGAAAAATCCTTCACTAATAGATTTATTGGTTATAGCAGATACAGCAACTCAACAAAGCGATCTAAAATCGAAATTTCCATGAAATAAAACACCGAAATTTTATGATTACTTAGTGAATAAAATATTATGTTCGTCTGTGTCAGCAAGACTATTAGGAATACTTTTACTACAGTCAGGTCTTATTAATATATCGCCGAACTCTTATTTTAGTTTGTATTATTTACTACGTATTTAAAATATGAACGTGTTTCCTTTTTAATAGCTGTTTTATAGTAAATAATCTGGATAATATTGAAAAGTATGATTCGGATTTCATCTTATCGCCTTGAGTAGCATTGTACGACCGATACTCCACCTTTGTAGGAAAAAGATGGCTTTTCCTCAACCATCCTTAACCTGTTCCCCCTACTCTCCTAACATGCCACCAGTGGGCCAGTGGTTTCAATGAGCCCACTTGGAGCAGATCTCATTCCGATTCAGTGTGTGCTTCTTGATGTAAAAAAAGGTATGTCAAGTATTATTTGACACCTACCTAAATATATCGGTTTTTGATAATGAATATTTTGTTTCGGTATACGGCTGAAACAGTCGATATTTTTTCGACATCCCTAAACGTCACTAATGCGTGGTTGAGTGGTTGTTATGTCAGCTGTATATTTGTTGTTTATAGGTTAAAATTAATGGAAACTTAAACGTAGAAGAACAAAAATATTACAAGTACAAGTTTTTCCAAGGTGTAATTACGTGTAAAGAAGGAACAATGGTAATTATAGTACGTGTTGATAATTTCAACAATAGATTCTCCTATATACCGAACTAATAACTGTTTATTTTTTATAGGGAAAGCAACGTAAAACAAGAAAGGTCGTTGAAAAGAGGTTCGCAAAAATGAAAAAACTTATAAGCCCTAGCGACCCACGTATTAAGGCCAGTGAACGTTCGGAACCGAAAAAGAAGAAACCATGTGATCCACATGAGATGCAAATCCGCGAACTGCCCCAAGCGAGCTCAGCACTATTTTTTCAATATAACACTCAATTAGGCCCACCATATCATATACTTGTTGACACAAATTTTATAAACTTCTCAATTAAAAACAAATTAGATATCATTCAAAATATGATGGACTGCTTGTATGCTAAATGTATTCCATACATTACCGACTGTGTTTTAGGAGAATTAGAAAAATTAGGCCGAAAGTATAGAGTAGCATTAAGGATAATAAAGGACCCTCGGTTTGAGAGAATGGCCTGTCTACACAAGGGAACATATGCTGATGATTGCATTGTTCAAAGGGTCACACAGCATAAATGTTATATAGTAGCTACTAATGACAAAGATTTAAAACGAAGAATAAGAAAAATACCAGGAGTGCCTATAATGTATGTTGCTCAACATAAGTACACAATTGAAAGAATGCCAGATGCCTATGGAGCACCCAAGGGTGCTGTTTAGTTATTAAACAAACAAAAATTTTGGAATTAAAACATGCATTTTACAATTGATACTGTCATTTTTATTTATTTCTGAAGAAAATACTTTGAATTATACATTATGCTGAATAACACATATTTCATATTCCATTAGTTTTTTCAAATCAGAACTAGTAAACATGTAATTATATTAAAAAACTGTTTTTTTTCTCTGTAATAACAATAAGGATAAAATATGTGATGATGAACCAATAACAATAGCTAAGATTGACACTTCATAATGTTTCCAGTACATTTAGTCCTAAATAACTAGGGTAAAACTTTAAAATATGTTACAATATACTTACTTTAATATACCCATGAGTTAAATTGTTTTTCTTAAGGATTTGTTTTTTTAATATATACTACACAATTAATTCTAACTCAGAATATAACTAACATATATTACTTATGTTAATTTAAACATCTTTCTTTAATTTTATTAACAGCAATGACAATTAAAGGAAAACCAAAGGGAAAATTATCATGTACTCAGCAAGAGCTCAAGCTCAGAAAAATTTTATGACTTTTCAGTATGTTGTCAATTCATATTTTTCTTAGATATTTTGACAATAGTAATTGTATATTATGTGATTACAGATACATTGGTTTATTTACCCTACTGCGCCAGAAGGAGGGTTATGTTTTTCGAGAGTATGTAATTATGTATGTATAATTATTTGGAACACTCTACAGCCTGAACTGCTTGATAGATTTTAGCTTGAGAGGTGTCGTTAGATTCACATTTACTGCGAGTGACACTGGGTATATCAAAATAAAAAAATTACGCAGAAATGTACTTGGGTTTTTTAGTTTTTTAAATTATATTGTACTTGTTTATATAAATGTTCATTTTTTTTAGACAAAATTAACTGTTAAAATAAAGTGGGCTGCAGGGTGGCTCATTTCTATTGCACAAATAGAGAGCAGCAAGTAGGTACATACCACATTCATACAGCAGATCAGAATTTAGTGCACTTTCTTACATAAAATTAAGAGGTATATTGGAAATGTAGTTTATTGGTAATAATGACAATTTAAATCCTAAATTTTATACAAGGAATTGTTACAGTTTATTCAACATTAACTTATAATGTGTATGATTAATACATGTATTAATTCTACAAAGATAATTTTTTTATTAATCACAGTTTACTTACACCTATTGTAATATATGAATACTATAACATTGCAAGTCCATATGTGAAAAGTGACATCTGTCAAACTGAGTTCACATTTACAAAGCCCGCTTTAAGGCTCTGCAAAGACAATACTAGATGGTGTTGTTGAGTGAACCTGGAGAACCAACAACATCAATTATTTCCCCAAGGGGCTTAGTGTCCCCATCACCAGTTGTGTTGCAAATTGACGGCGGGATTGTTAACGTCTGAAATTATAAAAATAAATGTTTTTTTTATTATATTTGTTACATTTACATTTTGGAATGGGTTTGTTTCCATTGGTAAAAGTAAACAACAAATTATATACTTGACCGACGATATCATCAAGTTGGACATGATATTGTCACAATACTCCATGGCGCAGTTGCCAAGGTATTGGCTTCGGCGTCGGGGTCGTGGGTTCGATTCCCACGCGGAACAATTATTTGTGTGACCCACAGATAGTTGTTTCGCATTTGTGTATTTGTCAACGTCAACCTTACAACACAGGATAATGTTATCCTAAAGTAAGGGCAATGTTTTTTTTAAAAAAAAGACGTTTCTTGACACATTTATAAATGTAAATAAAATATAATTATTTATACTGAGACAATCTCCAAGTCAGCCTGGTCAACTCGAGATGTACAGATAAAAGAAGTGAAGAAAAAACACAATTATAACAAATACCTGCTATTATATTCTTAAAAACTCTTAAATCTGTATTACATTATCTAAAATGTGTATTACAAATATATTATTAAGTATGTATTCATAGCAATAACATAATTATTGAGTTTTTTAAAAATACCTTTCCAGGGTTTAGAGCCTCATACTGGTGACGCAAAGCTTGAAGTTCAAACTCGCATGAAGCTAGAGCGTTCTTTAAGTCTAAAGCTAATGCAAGGTCCGAGCGAAGTTCGTTGAAATGTTTGCAGATAGCTTCAGTAGGTGTAGGTGCAATATCTGAAGCAAAAATTTTTTTTTCCATTTAATTATAAAAACACGTTAAATTTTGAATTCAAAATTAGGACAGTGTTTCAACCTATATTAAGGGATTACTGCATAACATCCAAATATTTATAAATTATTTTGTATGGCCATTCTCACATTTATTTTAAATTGAAATTCTCAACATTTTGAATATGCCACTAGTATTCTAAATGTTTGGAATATTAGTTAGTTATTTTTTATTCATGGTTCCATGTAAAAAAATCAATGCTCCATGTGTAAAAGAATCATCGAAATAGGTTGGCATGATATTGAGTTATTCGTCCATTTGTCACACACTTACATAATGCAAATTCAAGACTTATATGGTTTTCTCATGGATGCCATTGTCAGAACTGGATAAAATAGAAATGGGACCTCACGGAAAGCACCAGCTTTCAAATAAAAAAAGTATCATCTAAATTGGTTCACTTAGTTGAAAGTTCTGATGTAACAAACAACATAAAAAAAATACAGTCGAATCGAGAACCTTGAAGTTGGTTAAAAATATGTCGTACAAATTTAAATAATTTAGGGTACTAAGGTTTTCAATGAAAAACGGTAGGAAAATGGTAAATAAGTATATACCAATATTCATTAGTCGTAATTCTTGTTCAATTGCTTTTGTCTTTCTCTGTCCCACTCCAGGTGGCAATTTCATTCTTTGGGAACGCAGCCACACGCCGGTGCCCCGAGCTTCCGGAAACTTTATGCCTGACCATTCCACAGTCTGAAAAAGAAAGGCACGGCTTCTCTATACTATGTACAACAAAGTGATAGATTGAGACAAAACATCATTCCCTTTATTCAAAAGAACATACAGGTGTTATGTTCGTTTTGATAAGTTGTGTAATAAAAATATACTCACCACAGTTTCAATAGTCCGAATGGGTCTCTGTTGCGATGCTAGTTTCTTCTTATGCAACTTCCTGTCATGTCTTCTAGCAATACTGGATGATACTGCTGATGGTGTATTCATTCCTTCATTGCTTATAGCTGCCAGGGTTGATGGCAGGCCATTACCACTATCTGCTCTTGATATCAGCTTTTGTAAATCTTGAGTTTTCCTTTCCCTTTCACGCTTCCTTGCTTCAATTTTTTTCAGTTCGGCGAGTAGCATTTGTTCTTCGTCAATCTGTGAATAATTACACGTAACAATATATTATAATTTGTTGTGGTATAAAAATTTGTTCATGCAATATTCTACTCACTTATTATCATCATTACATATATAACAAAACTTGTTTATATAGTAAAACGTTTCGATGTTTATACACTTAAATCTTTTGATACTATGCTACGTTAATGCGGTTTTCAGCAATAGATAGAGTTATTCAAGCGGATGGTTTATATAGTATATATGCGTATTAGAGTAGAGAAAAGCTGATAAATTTAATATCTATATTGCACCCGTGCAAAGCCGGGGCAGGTCGCAAGAACAATATAGGAAAAATA